CCTCGTAGGGGCAACAGTCAGCTAAATGGCATTTAGACAATGTGCCTTCGGTTGGAGTGGTTGTGGTTGAAATGCAAACCGTTTAAAATCTATCAAGTAAGTTCGACTCAGGTTAATGTTTAATGGCGCGCTGGACCTCAATAGTAGGTGCAGTAAATGAAATAACTCGCGAGCGAAGCGAGCGAGATTTTTTTCTAGTCATATAGCCTGAATTTTTGGCCATTCAATGCGAGAAACACCATAAGGAATAGTTAACTTTCCCCTTTCCTAGATTGCTACTTGTAAGTCCGTCTAAGCCCAAAGGGAATTTGCACTTCTGAGCGATGCGAGGTGGATGCTAGAACGAAACCCGTGTATTTTACACCATTTTCTTCTAATTTTACGATATAAATACGAAGTATTATTGTTCTTAGACCGCAGCTAATATTGAGAATAGACATATTCATGGTTAGGAGGGAGCAAAGTCGCTATTGTTTTGAGTGAGTTTGGTAAGAAAGCGACCTGGAGCCCTCTCGGACAAGTACATGTTTAATAGCGAAATAAGTGCGTTTCCCTACGGGCCCCGGGGGGGCCCCAAGGGGCCCCCGAGGAGGGGGGGCCCACCCGTGTTTCTCGGTCTACACGGGCGGGCCAGTCCGCCCCTGGCACGCTTTCGCCGAGGGTCGAACCTTTGACCCTATTGGGACCCCATTGCCGAGTCATAAGACACCCCCGGTCCAGTGGGACAGCGTTAACCATCAGACCGTTTGTTCATGCACGAAGAATGATGGGTTTGAGTTTAACTCCAAGAGTTCGTCCGGTTCAGAAAAATGAAAGGGGGATTGGAGATTAGAACCCCTGACTTGGGCCGCACGCGCACGGGGCCGACTCTCTACCGGCGCGGCTACAACGCCGCACTAGTCACCGTAGTTAGTAGCTTGAGTGGCAGAGGAACCGGTTCCATCATGACACCCTCTCACTTGGAGTTTCGATCACTGCTTGGTTTAGACTCCGAAAGGTTTGAATTTTCAGGCACTGCACGAGATGCTTGACTGGTATGTCGGCAACCGGGGGTTCGAGTCCC